TTTCTTCTTGGACCAGTTCTGTTAAGCTGTATTTTTCTAGGAATTTAGACATTTTATCAAAGTGTCCAAATTTATTGACAAAGTTTGTTTACAATATCCCCATTACCTGTTGACTCTCTGCAGCTTCTGTGATTTGCCATTCCTTACCTTTTATACCTTCTCTCTTATCTCCTGATTAAGGTTTCAAATAACCAACTGATATGGTTTGGCTATGTCCCCACCCAAATCTCATCTTGAAGTCCCATGTGTTGTGGGAGGGACCCCAGTGGGAGGTAAATGAATCATTGGGGCAGGTCTTTCCTGGCTGTTCTTGTGACAATGAATAAGTCTCACAAGATCTGATGATTTTAGAACAGGGAGTTTCCCTACACAAACTCTCTGTCTGCTGACATCCATGTAAGATGTGACTTGCTCCTTCTTGCCTTCAGTCATGATTGTGAAGCTTCCCCAGCCATATGAAACTGTAAGTCCATTAAACCTCTTTCTTTTGTAAATTGCACAGTCTCAGGTATGTCTTTATCAGCAGAGAGAAAATAGACTAATATACCAAACTTTGACTTTGTTGATCTATTTGTTTTCTGTTTCATCAATTTCTGCTCATTATTCCCTTCAACTTGGGGTGGGAGGACTATTGCATTTATATTCCTGATATAGATATTTATTATTGGATTAATGAATGCATTTTAGACTAAAGGCCAAAATAAAAAGAGTATCTCTAGAACTGCTTGAGTCATTCTCCACATGCAATTTGTAGTATATTATTGTTCTATTTTTTCTCAAATTTTCATAAATTATGAATTATTAATATTTAAAACTGTTTCACTTGTGCTGATATCCAACTACAGGATTTCCAATACCTAGGTTGTTCCCACCCACCCACAAGAATTGCCATTTGACTTCAGGTATGATCAATTATTTCCTTTAACAAATATTGGGCACCCATATGTGCCAGGTACTGTTTTAGATACTTAGGTTACATTTGTAAACAAAATAGGTCAAAAAGTCATGCTTTTTTGGTGCTAATGTTCAAGTTTTTTTTTTTTTTTTGGCTTGTCTCACTCTGTCACCCAGGCTGGTTGGAGTGCAGTGGTACAATCACAGCTCACTGCAGCCTTAGCCTCCTGGGCTCAAGATCCTCTCACCTCAACTTTCCGAGTAGCTGGGAACACAGGCACATACCATCCTAATTTTTTGTAGAGACAGGGTTTTGCCATGTTGCTCAGGTTGGTCTCAAACTGTGGGGCTCAAGAGATCTGCCTGCCTCTGCCTCCCAAAGTGCTAGGATTACAGGCATGAGCCACTGTACCTGGCCAGGAGCTCATGTTCTACTGTCAATTCTTGGAAATGTCCCACATACATGAATAGAATGTATATCCTTCATCTGTTGGGTGCAGTTCTACATAAGACTATTAAATCAAATTGCTTTTAGTATTCAAATCATGCATTTCCTTACTGATCTTTTTGCTCATCTCAATTTCTAAGGAGATGTATATTAAAATTTCCTGTGGTTGTTCATTTGTCTATTTCTCTTTTCTAATTTCTATCATAAAAGCCATATTCTTTTAAAAGACAAGAAACTGATGTTCAAGAAACATGCCCTATTTCACTAAGTTTGTTAAAAATGGATTATGTATTCCAGTGTACTTGTCTATTATGACACTACTAACTGTGCAACTGTTGTCATCTGTTTTGCCTAATATCTGACACCTAATAATAACACACCCAATCCCTTCTTATCCTTTGGGAAATCCCTCTTCCCAGACTTTTAATCAAATTACCAGAGTTCCTTGCTCCCTGATCAGCAGCAAACATGTCTATGGCTGGTAACCATAGTATCCTGAGCTACACACTGAAATCAGGTCAATGAGGCCCGCCCCTAGACAGATGTATCTTTGTCATATTGCCTTCCAATAAATTCATAAGGTCACTAGCCATGTCTGAAAGTACCTACCAAAGATATGAGTTTAATTATTGTTTGGCTGTATAACAAGGATATTTTCCCCTGTGATATTTATCTCATCTGATGATGTCCTGCATTTCCTTGTTATTTCTTCTCCACGGCTGGAAAACATAAACTGTCTTTTAGTCCTAAAAATAACTTTAGTGCCATCTAGAATTTATTGCATTGTTGAATAAAGTATGGTTTATTAAAAAAAAAATCATTAAGCAGTACTACTTGCCAGTAACTGTGCTAGGAGGCACTGCGGATTCAGAATGGAGTCAGACATGTTCTTTTTACAAGGAACACAATATAGTGGGGGAAAAGCCATGTTGATAAATGTGTGCAATGCGGTTATGGGCGTGTGCGTGGGCAGTGGGAGGCAATTCGCTCAACCAAATGGCAGGCAGTCAGGAAAGGCTTCACAGAGAAGGTGACATTTGAGTTGCATCTGAAATACATACTGATTAAGAAAAGTATATTCCAGGAGGGGCAAAAAGCATCTGCAGAAAAGACACATGGTTCCTCACACATTAACTTTTCAAATGATTTTCAAGATAATCTCTATTTTCTTTCTGCTGCTATAGTCTCATTTCTTGACAGGGTTTACAAATACGTGGTACTGCACTGCCACTCTCCCCCTTCTCCCTGCCATTGGCAGGCATCCGTACTGAAAACAGAATTCCTTCCTAAGAAGTCTACTCAATGCTAGGTGCCATGCTTATTAAAAATAATGTAGAAATTAATAATCATGAATAAAGTGTACCTGACAGACACTTGCTTACCATTCCTACATGGAAATCTTGCTGTTCAGATGTGAAGTAGGGAGAGCAAGTTCTAAAATGTTAGCCCTACAGCACTAGAATCACTAGGAATTTTAAAAAATTCCAAATCTCAGTCTACAAATCTCCAGGGCTGGGAAAAAGGCTTCAGGATTTTTTGAAGCTCCCCAAGTAATTCTAATGTGCAGAAAAGTTTCAGAATTACTGCCGCAGAGGTGTACTGCCACAGAGGTGTTTGTTAAAAAAAAAGTCAAATTCGTTACTCATGTAAAGGGCTCAAGGGATTAGCCGAATCGTACTCTTCTGGGAAGAGAATTTTCCAGAGCAAGAGGGAGGCCTCTGAATCTGAAGTCTGGTCACTAAGTGGATACCAAGATTACAGACTCGAGGAGCCTGGCGACAGAGCAGGATATCAGCAGCAGGGGGCAGAGCCAGAGGTGGCCTGCAGGCATCTTTCTTTCCCAGTTTTCATGACATGATGCCAAATCTACTTAGCAATGGTCATTTTGTACTTTCATTTCTATTTTTTCGGGAATGCATAAGGATTAAAGGTGTCAGAGTAATCAGCCTAACAACCAAACGAGCTCAAGTTTGCTAAATTCAACTCTCCCCACAAAGATATTAAATTTGCCTACAGGATAAAAGCCTATCAGATACTTTAAAACAATGAAATGATCTTATGTTACATGAAAAAGAACATGCCTATGAAACAGAATACACTGTGCATACGTAGAGTTTTGGGTTAAAGATAATTGAGTATAAAAAACTATAGAAAACATTGCTTTGAAAGTAGAGCCAGTATCAATGTTATCCTAAGCTCTTTGCAAAAAAAGAAAACTATCTTTTAATTACACTACAATTGAGTCTTCAACTCATATATTCATTCAGAATTTTAAAATCTCTCTCATGGGAGGAAATGTAAAAGGGAAGTTTTCAAGACCTTTTTGTACCTTAATATCCTTTTCAGCTTCTAATGTAAAATGTATTTGTCCTGACAGAATGCTGTGAAAGAAAGACCAATTCAGGAAAGTAATGAAGTTTAAAAGTAGCTTCTTTTTTTCTGCATTGAGAACAATTTTATTGATTCAAATTAGAAACTTCTAGTTGGAGGGCAGGAGAAAGAGAAAGAAGAGAGAAGCAAGCAATCCATGACCTAGCACCGATTCTTGGCTGACCTCTAATAGAGGAAGAAGGTTCACATTTCTGCAGCCAAAACAAAAGTAATAAAGTGGAAAATGAATTTTTACAATCCCTACACATCACTGAATTTATCTATTGTCTTCCTACTGAAGGAATTTCTATTTCAAAGGATTTTTACTCCTCTTCTATCTCTGAACTGAAAAGAAACAAGGTGCAGTTTGCAGCTTCAAAATACTTAAATCATCTATATCGGTGTTCTGATTAAAAATTACCTACACTGTTCTTTGCTCCTTGAAAGCTTCATTGAAGCAGTCCCCCATAACAGGCAAAGAAAGTAGGTGGTAAAATTTAGCTCCTGGTAGAGTGTCCATCAACCAGCTCTGGTGGGATGTGCTGTCAGGAATGGAGCGCCCCCTGTAGGCCAGTCATCCAGCCAGTCTGTTCCCATCGATTAGAGCAGAGGCTGTCAAGCATGGTCCCTGGACTAACAACTTCACCACCACCTAAGAACTGGTAAGAAATCCATGTACTGGGGCCCCACCATAGGCCAACTGAATCAGAAACCTCTGTGGTGGGGCCCAGCAATCTATGGGCCCTCCCAGGTGATGCTGATGATTGCTAATTTTGAGAACCACTGTATTAGAACACCTCATTCCCCAAAGATGTCAAAATCAAGGTGTCATTGTGTTAATTAATTATACAGGAATGAACAGAGATGAAATGTCTTTCCTACATAGAGACAGAACCAAGAAGTTGATGTTTGTATCAAGTAAAAACACTGAGCCATAATTTAGAAAATACTGACACCAAATTGTTTGTGGTTTAATGTATTTAAAAAAGCTTTTAGCAACTCTGTATTTATTCCCAATACATAGTTTGAATGAATTATTGTGTCCTTTGATGAAAAGGGTAAAGGAATGTAAGTGACTCTACCATAAATACAGGAAAAGTTTGGATAATCTCAGTACCTACCACTACCAACAATAAGACCAAAGAGTCTACCCCACTGCTATAATCCTTCCCTCTCTTCTCTGGACTGCAATCTGACTCAAACCAGTTCATGGCTATCTGACTACAAAGTAAGGCTATACATGTTCACAATCAAAGTGGAAATGAAAATAACAAGAAAAACACTTAGCTCATTTTTCATGATCTTTTTTTATTTAACACATATAGTACATGTAAACAACTGGCATAAAATTCATAAAAATACAATACCCCTATGCAATAACACTTTATTCCTGATGCGTCCTTTCACTTTCTCGTTAATATCGCTGGCCTATCTTAACACTATACTTTTTTTGCCAAGCATTTTTAGAGGGTTATCTTTTTACAGAAATACAGCCCCAACTTTGTTTTCTAAAATGTCACAGCAATAGCTATTTTGATCACTTTCTTTTATCCTTTCCTCACATTAAAGCAAAAATATTTTTAAATGCTAAAAATATGCAAAACACTGAGATTTAATACTGTTTTGTCACACCTATGGAACCTGCTACCACTCCGCATTGCCATAAAGGTGCGAATGCCCCACAGTGCTGGTGCTGCAAGCTGTGGCCACGGCTGCATAGCAGGGACCTTCAGGCCTCTGCTCCAAACTGGCTCCCCTAATATATAGCCGCATTTTGCTGGGGGCTACATTCATAAACACTGCTATAAAAGGATCCTTCTGGAAAAAGCTAATTTACACTACTTTTAATGGTTCCCAGCAAATGAAACAGTTACAATAGCATTTTTAATGCTTTTTCCTGTACAGAATTTCTACTTATTACATGTGAACTTATCTGGAAGTAAATTACTAGGAGGTGAGAAAAACAGAAAGGTAACTGTAAAAGTAAAATTTTTAAAAATTGTAACTGCTGGATGTACAAAATCAGCCACACTCGGGCAAGCAACAATCGCAGATAAGCAGAGAGCACCTCCCCTTTCCCTGCCCATGTCGACTCCCATCCTCAGCCTCCAGTGTCCACTGCCCATTTTCCTAGACTGCTGTTGCTGTGCATCATCGTTTGAATGTTGCTCTTAATCCACATATCACCGGCTGCTTCTCTATTTTCTAAAACTAGCAAAAGCCTAAGAAATAAAAACATTCAACCAGCAAATGACAAAAAGCGGCCACAAATCTGAAGAACACTGCCAGAGTCCATCTCCTGGGCCACCTCCAGGGAAGGAGTGTCCCTGGGAGCTGCAGCTCTGGGCACTGGGGCAGGGCTGGGGTGTGGTGCTTCTCTGAGGTCACACTCCCAGCCTTTATAGCTGACTCATGTCAGCAAGGTGCTGCTTCCCGGAGACTAGGCCTGCCCTTGGACTCTGGTAAGAAGGTAGAAAGAGAACAGTGGCTTCCAGCAGTGGTCACCAGAAACCATCCTGAGGACTAAGGTCTCAAGGACAATCCACAATTAAGTTAATCTGCCTGTGGTTAAGAAAGAGAAGCTGTATAATTAAATGTGTAGTCAGCCATAGTCACGGTTTGCTTAGAATTTAAAACCCTAAAACCTTTTCTCAGAACTATGAGGTTTCATCGTTTTGAAGAATCTCATTTCACATAAATTAACTTCTAAGAAACAAAAATTCATACAAGAAATTCAAAGAAGGTGTAGAAATTCAAAATAAAAATAAACAGGAAGAAAAAAACTAAAAAGGAAGACAAAATATACTCATTTCTCATACTGAAAAGATAGTTTTTTGAACCAAAATTATAACATAAGGCTTAAGGCTTTGTCTTATTAAAGGCAGGCAATCTTAAAAGCAAAATATAAAAACTCCATTTATCATTATTCTTTACTTTCTTGACAGCAAAATTAGTCATGTTTTATTGTACCTTAATAGTAAAAGAAAAATTATCATGTACAACAGTCTACTGTTCCGCTATAAATTATGTATACTCAAATATACATTAGTTTCTAGATGCACTATATTTGGAGTTGTTCAAAATAGTTTTTCTTAAAACTATAATTAAACATGAAAAACTTTTAAAGTGGTTTAAAGGTATTAAAATATAAACATTTGAATAATGCTAAAAAATGAGAAAAATACAGTTACCATTAATTTTTTTAAAACCAAGAATAAGTACTTGACAAGCAACTAAATAAGTAAACAGCACTTATTTGACAGAAAATGCGGTGGCGGGGAGGAGGTGGAGGGGGAGAATGGGAGAGAAGGAGAGGTGGGGAAAGAGAGAGAGAGAGAGAGAGACAGACAGACAGACAGACAGACAGACATGATAATGCCAAATGGCTAGAAGTTAAGGAAATTTCCTAACCACTAGGTCCAAGAATTTGGAATAATGGGCAGGAGAAGCTTTATGAACAAGAGAACAGAGAACAAAAAGAGCACAAGGAAGTAAGATAGATAGTTCTACACAGCAAACACTCATGTCTGCCCCATCTACTGGAACTCAAGTTGATGACAGGGGCTGACATGACCAAAGAACTTACAATAATCACTGAAATGTCCAAAAGACAAGAGCAAAAGGCAGAACAAAGAAGCAAGGGCATTAATAGTTCTTACACTGTAAAATCAGCCCCTATACAGTCAGAATTGTCCTGTATTTTCATATCATGCTTCTCATGACCCATTGTGTTTTCTTTATACAGGTAGCTTTGCTCACTTTAGCGCAAATATTAAAGTCAAATACAAACATATACTCATTTGCATAGCAAATTTTAAAGGGTGCATTGAAATAGTAACCAATTGATAAAGGTGTAAGTCATTTTTATAATTAGAATGACATTCAGATTGACCAAATAAAACGTTTTCTATTTGAAAACAGTTACCTATAAAAGTTTTTGGGATATCAACAACACATGACTTAGCGAAACATTAAAACCATTACTGATGTAGTTGTCCGTGGGCAGCAGTTCATGTAGCAGTCATTCTTTTACAACTTCTAGGACTTTGTAAACACTGTTCTGGAATACAGTGATGAAGTAAGGTTTGGAATCCTTCACCAAGAGGTTACATAAGGGAGTTTTCCCAGCATTGGCAGGATCTTCTACATCCCAAATTTCAGGCATACTGCAACCAGGCCTAGAAAAATCAATGTACACATTAAAAATCAATGTGCATTATATAACTGCAGATAAAGCAGAGTACTTCTTATATTCCTGATCTCATTTCCTGACCTTTTTTTCCACTTAAATTCCTTAGTTTTTGAAGAATTATGTTATGTATTTATGTTTTTATAAGCTGCCATGATTCACTTTAGAACAAGGTGAATGCAGCAAAGGTGATAAGGGAAAGAAACAGACCTTCAGACACATATATCTGGGTGTTGGGGTAAGAGACATCTCAGTTAAACTCTGCCTTAGCTGCTTACCAAGAATGCGGTGCTGAGCAGGTCCCCTGGTCTTAGTTTTCACATTGGTAAAATGGGGAAATAAACAACCATGACATAGGTTTGTTGTGAGGATTATGAGAGATCAGGTATCTAGCACCATGCCCAGCACACAAAAAAAGGTATAATATTGATTTTAAAAATTATAATGAGCAAATATGCTTAGTTCACAGGGAAGCTGCATTCATTGTATAGATGCTCCTCAACTTACCATGGGGTTATGTTCCAATAAACCCATCATAAGATGAAAACGCACTTAATACACCTAATCTACTCAATGCCACAGCTTAGCCTAGCCTATCTTAAACATGCTAGGAACACTTATATTAGCCTACAGTTGGACAAAATCATCTAACGCAAATGCTATTTTATAACAAAATGTTGACTATCTCAGGTAATTTATTGAATGCTGTACTAAAACTGAAAAACAGAATGGTTGTATGGGTATTTGAAGTACGGTTTCTAATGAATGCATATGGCTTTAATACTGTCATAAAGTCAAAAAATCAGTAGGTTGAAACATCCTCAACTGGACAGTCAATATTGTAGAGTCAATCAATTTAAAGAAATTCTGGTAGTGTTGAGCATACATCTTAGCCAAATACATAATTAAATCTCAAAAACAATATATCCTTATAAAGAACAGTATAAATTTGTATCATGTGACATTTGCCTAAACAAGACCCTCAAAATAACAGTACCATTTATTTTAAATCAAGAACAGTTTTATAGATATAACTGTTGGATATTGCTATCTACCTTTTGAGAAATTTTTAAAACAGAAATATATATGGGGAAATTATAGAGAACTGACAACTGTTCATGTTTGATCATAACGCTTCCCTTATTTTTAAATAAGGGGAAAAGAATTCCCGAGTCCCTTTTATGTTTAGTAGCAGTCCCTCCCTCACTCTCCACCATGAGGCAAACACTGTAGCAGGAACGTATATCACTTTCCCTTTTCAAACAACATCTTTAACTTGAAAGTAATCAGTCATTATGAAAATACCAAAATACAGACCTACATAAATTTTAAAAAATGAGAGTCACCATCATCTCCAATGGCATTACTCAGAGGTGACTTCTATAAACAAGCCAGCATATATCCTGCTGGACCTTTAAATATAAATATATATATATATATAAATATATATATATAAGATATATATCATATATGTATATTTTATATTATATATAATATATATTAAAAAATATATATTTTTTTCAATAGCTTTTGGGAAACAGGTGGTTTCTGGTTACGTGGATAAGTTCTTCAGTGGCAGTTACTGAGATTTTGGTGCACCCATCACCAGAGCAGCGTATGGTGTACCCAATGTGTAATCTTTTATCCCTCATCACCCCCATCCTTGCTTCCCCTGAGTCCCCACAGTCGAAATCATTCTTATGCTTTGCATCCTGGTAGCTCGGCTCCCACTTATAAGTGAGAACATAGAATATTTGGTATCTGCTGGACATTTTGTTACCCATTGTCAAACACATGCACACAAATACAGACATGGATGTAATTATATACACAGATGCTGTGATGGTTAGTAGTAAGTGTCAACTTGATTGAAGGATGCAAATTATTGTTTCTGGGTGTGTCTGTGAGGGTGTTGCCATGGGAGATTAACATTTGAGTCAGTGGGCTGGGAGAGGTCCACCCACCTTCAATCTGCATGGGTACCATCTAATCAGCTGCCAGCATGGCCAGAAATAAAGCAGGCAAAAGAATGCGGAAGGACTAGACTGACTTGAGTCTTCTGGCCTCCATCTTTCTCCTGGAGCTGCTTCCTGCCCTTGAACACCAGATTCCAAGTTCTTCAGTTTTTGGACTCGGATCTACACCAGTGGTCTGCCAGGGGATCTTGGGCCTTCAGCCACTACTGAAGACTACACTGTCAGCTTCCCTACTTTTGAGGTTTTGGGACTTGGACTGGCTTCCTTGTTCTTCAGCTTGCAGATGCCTATTGTGAGACTTCACCTTGTGATCGTGTGAGTCAGTACTCCTTTAATAAACTCCCTCTCATATATGCATCTATCCTATTAGTTTTGTCCCTCTGGAGAACCCTGACAGATGCGCTTGAGTTGTTTTTACAAAAATGGAATTATTCTGGGACTCTAAACAATAAAATGTGGCGTGATTTTTCCATGTTAGTGCATAAAGATCTACTCTATTGTTTTGAATAGCTGCTTGTTCTCATATGTATTATTAACCAATTCTTTACAGATCGATATTTTAATTGTTTCCCATTATAAACCAATGCAGCCACAAGCAGCCTTGTGCCGAGCTCCCCTCTTCAAGCTAAACCTCTAGAGCAGCAGTCCCCAACCGTTTTGGGACCAGCAACTGGTTTCATGGAAGACAATGTTTCCATGGACTGGAGAGTGGGAAGGGATGAAACTGTTTCACTTCAGATCATCAGGCATTAGATTCCCATAGGGAGCACACAACCGACATCCCTCACATGTGCAGTTCACAGTAGGGTTCGTGCTCCTATGAGAATCTAATGCTGCTACTGATCTGTCAGGAGCCAGAGCTCAGGCTGTAACGCTTGCTCACTCTCCACTCACCTCATGCTACACGGCCAGGTTCCTAACAGGCCACAGACGTACTGGTCCACGGCCGGAAGCTTGGGAACCCCTGCTCTAGAGGCAAATTATCACTCTGTCAAAGGAATACACAATTTTTTTTTACCTTCCCTTCAAACTATCACCTAGAAATGTTTAGCCAGTGAGTGTTCCCATGAAGAGGGACACTTCAAGTGCACACTTTTTGCACACCCTTGCTGACACTGGTTTCTACTGACATTGAACACCTATGGTAATATGGCTGGGTATGGGTTTTCTACCTTTTAATTTTTTCTTTTTTTTTTTTGAGACGGAGTTTTGCTCTTGTTACCCAGGCTGGAATGCAATGGCGCGATCTCGGCTCACCGCAACCTCCGCCTCCTGGGTTCAGGCAATTCTCCTGCCTCAGTCTCCTGAGTAGCTGGGATTACAGGCACGCACCACCATGCCCAGCTAATTTTTTGTATTTTTAGTAGAGACGGGGTTTCACCATGTTGACCAGGATGGTCTCAATCTCTTGACCTCGTGATCCACCCGCCTCGGCCTCCCACAGTGCTGGGATTACAGGCTTGAGCCACCGCGCCCGGCCTTTTAATTTTTTCATACACATCAAGGCTGAACTGTTATAACACTGAGGGCCCATGGTGGAAGAGAGTGAGACACAGAGGAAGTAGAGAATGACCCACAGTTTTCCTGAGTTCAACAGCTTTTAGGAAAAAGAGAGGGCAAACAGCTGTCTTGGGAAGCTCTGTTTGCCTTGTGCAACACTATTTATTCCTCATCTGAGTTTCCCAAGGTCTCCCCAGGCCAGCCATCTGCAAATAGCATTAGTGAAAATCTAAATTATTTTCTTCTGAATGCATGTATTTTATTATTGGAATAAAAGGAAGCAGAGAACTGTAGTTAATTAAAAACTAATCTACAACTTGCATGCAAATATATTTGAGTGTTTATATTTAAACAGTGTCAAATAGTTAAAGAATCATCAAGCCATACAATTAAGCCACTTGTAAATGAGATCATTTAAACATAGTGCTCACCAACTGCCAGGCACAGATTAAGCACTAGATAAATATTGGTCCCTCTTCCCCTTCCTCTCCTATCCAAGTTCCCCATCTGCTTCCCCTATTCTGACACACTTTCATGTCCCAGCAATCTATAGGGGTTTCAGGATGACATAACTGAAATGGAGAGTGAAGACCAAGGAAATAAGGAAGATCTCAAACCTGGCGGAAAGCTTTGTCAAGAAACTTCTTATTCTAATTGTAAACATTAGATAAGTATGAGTTGCTTTTCCCTTTTCTTTCCTATTTGAATGCCCCATTTGCTTCCCTGTTGCAGCAGAAAGTACAGCTTTTGTTTTGTGTCAAGGTTGAAGCAGAGTGGACCTGATCAAGGTTTCCTGACAGCGTGTCATCAGCCTGGCTTAGATCTTGTACTAGAGGGAGGGTGTCATTTTAATGAGCGGGGAAAACAGATGAGAGTCACTTTCATAGCTTCTTCCCACTCAACTCCTGCTGTGACAGCCACAATAACTGCAAGTCAAGGTCTGGATGGGGAAATGCAGCACACCCTCCTCTGTATCCCAACTCTCAGTCTGAGTGCTCGTAAGTGACCTGAAGTCAGTTCAATGTCTGCTGATTTTGTTTAGTGTGCAAAGTTTATTGCCATATTTCCTAAATTTGCCTTCGTATCACTTCTTGTGTGAGTAAAACAGTGCTCTGCCTACTCGAACACGAGACTGTTACAGCTATGCAAATCCAGGGAGCTCTCCCAACACCCTAAAGCACAAAGCCTCTGCAACTTTCATATATTCAAACTCCATGTAGGATCTAGGAAAAAATGAAGACTCTCGAATCAAGACTCATTGTTAGCTTGGAGAAAAAAGGTTATGAACATTATTTTTATGTTCCAATAACTTACAGTTGTTTCAAGAGAGTGAAGTCCAAAGAAATAAAGAAGATCCCAATTCTGGTAGAAAGCTATGCTAAGAACTGAGTTCTTCCTACTACAAATGTCAACCTACCATTCATTTCACATAATTTCCTCATAAGATTGTTATGAAATGCTTAGAACTTTTTTGTCTTAAATTTATATAACAATGTTAAAGGTGAGTATGTGAATTTCACATATATTCATGTATTCATAACTGCTTAAAGCATTTTCTAAATTATTACAAAATAACATTTTCTATAAATCCTGACTGAATTCCAACCATGTAGCACATACACATAGAAAAATCATTCTATGATCAATAATTTTAGTTTCCTTATGAGCAAAACTGTAGATACTATGTCACAGAACTATTTTAACAATTTCGTCTTAATGCCGTATGTGTCATTGAAATATATGTTGGGCAAGTTATGATTAAGCCATAAATATAACAATCTCTAGTTGAAGAGTAATAAAGAATTAAAAAAATATTATTATTCCATAAAACAGCATTTATTTCTGATAAAAGTGTTTCTGTACTGTGCTCTTCATGGAGTGAATGTTTTGGTACATTAAAAGCAGGCTACTGTCACCTGCTGTCCAGTCACTCATGTGCCAGGTTTCTAGATAACTTTAGATTCACATCTGCTTTCAAGATCTTACTGTAGCTTGGAGCTATACTCAGCTTAGTAAACATCTCTGTGGAAATAGGAACTTTTAGCAACTATAAAACCAAAAGAATGTGGGTCATAGTACATTTATTTTCCCATTCAAATAAGATGTGAGATGCCAGGAAAGAAAAGTTTCATTCTGAGTTGATGCTAACAGGGTAACCCATCCATCAACAGGACACAGTGTAGCACAGAGACACAGTATGGACGATGCGGCCCCTGGTGCTCAGCTGCCTGACTTCACCAAAATAAGGCTCCCCATTACTTGGTTTCAGACCCTGGAAGTCTTTTGAAAAAAAAATATATATATCTAACTTTAAAAGGTTTTTTTTTTAAACATCGAAAGCAAATATGAACAATTTGGGAGATTATCAATTAGTGCCAATAAAATCTCTTTAAGGTAGTATATACACACAAATCATTATTTGAAAAAAAAAAAAAAAAAGAAAGAAAGAAATTTATAAAGACTAGAAAAGAAAGACTCCAAATCATTATCTAGAAAGTTTTTTCAGGCCACGAATGGTGGCTCACACCTGTAGTCCCAGCACTTTGAGAGGCCAAGGCAGGAGGAGCACTTGAGGCCAGGAGTTTGAGACCAGCCTGGCCAACATGGCAAAATCCCATCTCTACTAAAAATACAAAAATTAGCTGGGTGTGGTGGTATATGCCTGTAATCCCAGCTACTTGGGAGGCTGAGGCATGAGAATTGCCTGAACTTGGAAGGCAGAGGTTGCAGTGAGCCAAGATCATGCCATTGCACTCCAGCCTCAGCGACAGAGTGAGAATCTGTCTCAAAAACAAAAAAAAATTTTTTTCACTTATACTTTATTAAATGTTATATATACACTCCTGCCACCAGCAAAGCACTTGCCATGTGCTTGTATTAACCTTCGTGTCCTATGATTATAAAATATTGACTGTGTTGATACTCACTTGGATCTTCTTACACACCATGACTCTTCCAGAATGTAATAATTCACTTTTAACTTTATCAGTTCTTGCTTCACTTCTTCAGCTGCTTTCCGACTATACATTGAATATACTATTTTTGTTCTGGCTCTTTAAAGAAAAATAATTGGGCACAAAATTTTCAAGATTAAAAAGATACAATCAACACATTTGGAAGAAAGCAGTGAATGAGACTAGAAGATAGACGACGAAGAAGAATCCAGTCAGGAGGAAATTCCTCATGGGAGTTCCTGCTAAGGGGCATCAGTGAGGTCAAAAGCAGAAGGCAGAAGGAGGACAAGTCATGGGAGTAGAAGGTCACCTTTAACACATCCCTACATTTCCAAACTTGGTCTTCTTTGTGTCTGTTCACTTATTTATTTGTCTTAAATTCTTCACTACTCTGTCACATATAAGAGTAAGGTACCCTGTGTGTGAACAGGGATGAACTACAACAAACAAACTACAGGGCTACTCTGAAGCTGCAAAAGTCTCAACTTTGACATCAACAATAACTCACATTAAATGGTTCTTCATTTTATTTCTAGATTTAAGAAAAATTAAACTTATTCAACAAAATTGGTCTGGAAATTAGCTTGGTAAGATTGATTTTTTAATGAAAAAGCTTATTTGTAAAACGTATATGCTGTTGTTACGCAAAACAATATACTAATAAGATTCCCGGCCGGGCACGGTGGCTCACGCCTGTAATCCCAGCACTTTGGGAGGCCGAGGCGGGTGGATCACGAGGTCAAGAGATCGAGACCATCCTGGTCAACACGGTGAAACCCCGTCTATACTAAAAATACAAAAAATTAGCTGGGCATGGTGGCGCGTGCCTGTAATCCCGGCTACTTGGGAGGCTGAGGCAGGAGAATTGCCTGAACCCAGGAGGCGGAGGTTGCGGTGAGCCGATAT